AAATGGTTGAGGGAGTCCTTCTAGAAAGTTCCTCCAATCCTTCAGTGCTTCAATGATAGCAAGCATTTCTCGATCGTAGATTTCGTAGTTCCGTTCCGCTGGCTGCATGGATGCCGATCTGAAGGCTACCGGATGCCATTGGCCATCGTCTTGCTTCTGCATAAGGGCGCCTCCCGTGGCAAAGCCTGATGCGTCTACCTCGATTCGAGTAGGCCTGTCTGGTGTCCATAGAGCAAGGATCGGTGCGGAGATGAAGGCTTCTCGAAGGGTATCAAATGCTTTCTGTCGAGTGTCGGTCCAGGTAAAGCTGGTGTCTTTCTTCGTCAGGTCGTTCAGAGGTCGTGCTATTTTGGCAAAATTCCGGATAAAGCGTCGGTAGAAGTTTGCAAATCCCAAGAACCCTCGTAGTTCCCGAAGGTTAGTAGGGACTGGCCAGTCACGAACAGCCGCTACTTTTACCGGATCCATTCTCACCTCCCCTTCTGAGATGATGAGTCCGAGGTATTCAATCTGTTGTTGTTCAAATTCGCATTTTTCGGGTCGTAGGTAGAGGTCGTGCTTTTCTAACCGAGTTAATACTTCCCATACCATTCGTCGGTGTTCCTCGAGATCGTTACTGAAGATAAGGATGTCATCTAGGTAGACTGCCACCTTGCCGGCTGCAATGAGATCAGCAAATATAGCATTCATAAGTGCTTGGAACGTGGCAGGGGAATTTGTGAGACCAAAGAACATGACCTTAGGCTCGAACAAGCCTCGGGTTGTTGCGAACGCGCCTTTCCATTCATGCCCCTTCTTAATCCGTATGTTATTGTAACCCCAGCGGACATCAAACTTCGTGAAGTATCTGGCTCCCTGAAGTCGACTAATGATGTCAGCAACTAATGGGAGAGGGTATCGGTTCTTCACAGTGTACTCGTTCAGTTTCCGGTAGTCTTGTACGAAACGGAGTTTCCCATCCTTCTTCTTTACGAAGAAGACTGGTGATGAGATTGGTGATTTTGAGGGGACGATATAGCCTTTCCGTAGGTTTTCTTCTAGGAAACGATCCAACTCCTCCTGCTCATTTAGGGACATGGGATAAATCTTGGTACGCATGGTTGCCGGTGCTCCAGGTACGAGATCAATCGCATGGTCCCAAGGTTGGTGGGTAGGTAATCGTTCGGAGGCGGATTCTGAGAAAACCTTCTTGAAATCACAATACTGCTCAGGGACCATTTCTTCGAAGGTTTTAACGGGTTTATCTCGGTTGGCTTCCTCTGCTAACTGCTGGGAGTAAGTGAATCCTGCGGCGCACCAGACTTCCTCCGTCTGTTCCTCTAGAATTCCTGCTTTTACCCATGCCCGGCGAGTTTTATGATTGGCTCGAATTCGGTGTATTGGTGGTTCTTCCACCGCTGCTGATTCACTCGGTTCAAGGGTCGCTTCTAGTGGCACCTCAATGTGGGGGTTCTCTGCGGGAGGTTCCAGTTCCGGGAGTTCGAGGACCGGGGTTTCTGTGTGAGTGGCGGCTAGATGAGAGTACAAGATCTCCTCGTCTGGGACTTCTTCTATCGTTACTCGAGGAGGCTTTACTGAAAGTCGTCCTTTCTCCCAATCAATCTCCGGATTTACCTTCCGTAGCCAGGGGAGTCCAAGGATGATGTCTTCACCTCCTAGGTTGGTGATCAGAAAGTCCATCCATCGCTCTTGATTATCCACTGTGAGTGCTAGACGTGCAAAATGGGTTATCCGTCCAGCTCGGTTAGGTGTTCCATCGATATTAAAAACGTCGATTGGTTTATGGAGGGGTGCACATCTTACATGGTTCCGGGTGACAAAGTCTTGGTTTAAAAACAGGGCGGTAGCTCCACAGTCTACCATGGCTGCAGTTGTTATACTGTGATTCCTTCCTCTTAGTCTCGCATGAATTCGGAAATGTGGGGAAGTAGAGTTTAATTCCCGGATCGACGATATTGTACATGATGGGTGCGAGTCATACGAGGAAGTAGCGAACATAACAAACTGATTACGGGGTACTCTCGGTGCAGCCGAAGCGGGTACCCTCTTTAAAAACCCTGTTGAAAGCCAGAGGACGAGGAGGACATAGCGTTAGCACGATCAAGTAATTCCCTTATTTGACCAATCTGATTGGAAAAGTCCTGGTTAGGGGGGCTCGGAGTAGCAGCTACGGGTGCAGGAGCAGATGTTGGGGTCGAGGACGCGATTTGGACGGATTCGTTTGGGAATAGGGAGAATGGCGCGGGTCCCGTAGCGGATATCTGTTGGCGTCGAGGTTGCTGGCGTCGGCCTCGGTCTCGTCCGAGTCCCATGAATTTGTCTTGGCAGACTGCTTCCAGATGTCCTCGACGTCCACAGTAGCGGCAGGTGGTTTCTCGGTGTGGGCAGTTTTGCTTGACATGACCTTGGGCACCGCAGCCGAAGCATCGTCCTCGCATGCGAGCTAGGAATGCTTCCCTAGTATTCCCATTACTGGTGTGGGTTGCATCAATGTCCATAGCATGGGGGTCAGCAGGGGTAGTATGGGCGGTATGCGTGGGAGGGTATCCAGAGTTCCGGCCAGTCATGGTGGGATCGTGCAGGTAGACATCCACCGATATGGCCCGTTTGATTGCCTCCTTCAGAGTCGGAGCAATTCCTTGGGCAATGTTTACGGTGATGAGGTGTTGTCGGATCTCTGGGAGTAATGCAGTGAAGAAACGTTCCCGCAAGTCAATATCAGACATTTCAGTCCGATCTCCGATATCCTTGAACTTCTGAGCGAATTCCGCAACTGTCTGTCCTTTACTTTGCCTGAGATTCTTGATCTCGCTACGGGCTTCCATACCTGGGTCCATTGGTTCAAACCGTTGGCTAAATTCCTTCAGAAACGCCTCCCAATTTCCTCCGAAAGGGGGATTTTCTGCATTGAAATGTAGCAGATGGGGAGTTGCCCAATCTCCGGCACTTTCTGTGAAGAAGCCCAAGGCGGACTTGATGAGTTTTACTTGGCTTTTGGCGAGATCCGGTTGTTCTGACGCCCAATTCTGGAACTGAGCCATGAAGCGACGGGCTTCAGCGCCATCTTTACCCTTGAAAACCTCGGGTTTGTTCATGCTTGACTTAGAGGATGAGCGTTCCTCCATAGCTGTAGCAAGGTTAGCTACTTGTCTGATGAGCTGAGCCATGAGATCCTCCGCAGAGGTGTTTGGGGCAGGCGGGATAGGAGTCGACATGATGGGAGTAGGCAATCGGGGTTGGGGAATCGGCAGGAAGGTTATATTGCTCACAGTGAGTGGCTCTCGGATTGAGTTCGAAAGGGCGTTGGGGCAAGGTTGAGACTGGCAATCGCGCCAAGTATCGTCGTTGTTATGGGCGTGAGCTTGGTCTCTGGGGTCAAGTGCGTGCGGGAGTGCGGAGCAGTCTATACTGGCAACAGGTGTTTCAGAGTCGGGCGGAACTGGGGAAGACGTGGTGTCTATAGACCCTGCAAGGACAACCTTATCGGTAGGCTGTCAGTGCAGTAATGGATCTTGACCTAATGTCACGAAGCGGCAGAGGCGGAGTGACTAACGGAGCGGGAAAGCGGAGCGACTAAGCAGAACGGTGAGGCGGAGCAACTGGACAAGGCAACAAGGCGGAGCGACTGGTCCCAGATAATGACAGAGATATATTGAGTATCGTAGTCATAGGTAATAATAAGTAAGCACATACCTGGTCCCAGATAATGACAGAGAGGTCAAGATAAGGGACCAGGCTGTGGAGGGTTGGCTATATATACATAATCCGGTCTGCGAGAAACAACGATGTAATACTGTACAGTTTAGGAACAAGGAAGGTGGCGGAAGCCAGTAGAAGGAGAAGATGGGTCAGGTGGATCAGTAATCGATGGATCAGTAATCGATGGGGGTTTGACAGTGATGGGATGATGTATCGTACAAGTAAAGGCGTCGAGACGGTGAGAAAAGGAAAATGATAGGGGCTGCGTACTTTATGACACTTGGGCTTATTTGAGTGGTTTAGAACTCCATATCCCCTCATCGATCCCTTAGGCCGGGTTATCGGTGTTTTGGCTGGAACACCTGGTTCTGGCTATGCAGAAGATCTTCTCCGAGCTTCCGATCTGATTCTGCAGGAGGGTAAGCAGGCTGGGCTTGGTGCCGCTGCCCCCAACCCTCATTTACGCAGTTCATTCCCAGCTTATAACTGCGGCATTACTATGGGAATGGGAAGCCCTTGCCCAGTTGCTCTCAACCCAAAGGCTTTAACAGTTGTTCTTGTGCGACTTGTAGGGCATGAGACCGTCCTCCAAATGGCTATGTATCAAAACCGTAAGCAATTCGTTTTGCAATTAACATTTGCCCTTACCCTGAATTTCTAGGAGCTTTCTCTATTTGGGCTCCTCGTGTCTATGCAGTATATGAAGCAACTCAGACCAGAATGTATGAGGAGTTACCAACTCTTTCCCGAAACTTCCCAGGTAGTGTATTTTCCGCTGCTGCCTTCAATTTCGGGGGTAATGTGTGGACATATAAGCATAGAGACCATTTGAACTGGCCATTTGGGTGGTGTGCTATCACTGCACTAGGCCGGTTTGACCCAGCACGAAGTGCACAACTCATACTCTGGGAATTAAAGCTAGTTATTGATTTCCCTCATGCTGCTACTATTCTCATTCCTTCTGCTGTTATTACCCACTCAAATACCCCTGTTGCTGAAGGGGATATTTGAACGTCTTTTATGCAGTTTACAGCTGGTCCTATTTTCCGTTGGGTTGAGAATGGCTGTATGACAGAAAAGGAACTTCACATACAATACCCAGACTGGTGGGCTCGTATGGTGGAAGATAAGCACACAGTAATTGCTCGTCGCATACAGCTTTTTTCAACTATGGAGGAACTTCTAGAAATTGCTGAATAGCATAGTTCTGCTATTGGTTTTCTTGAACATAGTAAATGTTCCGGTTATGTATTAAAAAGGTTGTATCGATGCAAATGATGAATGGAAGTACGTAGTCTATTCTAAAAATTATATGCCATGTCATCCCGTTCCTCATCTTCAGTAAAGTTGAACTCATCAGCATTCATATGTAGGGTGCAGAGGTAAGCCTTCACTGAGGACGTTGCCTTGTCTATAATAGCATTCTCTACCTCTAAGGACCCACTTGACTCGACTCGATAGATGAAGTTCAGTACACATTGAGGAGGCATTCCATCGAAAGTCAGAGAATGGAGATATACCCCAAGCTTTGAAAGCAGGTACCTATCCTTGGGATCTGGGTGAAGGATCTTTCGGGCTACCTTTCCCCACCAGACAGCCACCCAGATTTGGAAACAACGCGTACTATGGTGCTCAGCACTACACTCTGCCGCAGGAGAGATAGATCCATCATCCTTGGGAATTGAATAGGCAAGGAGAATCCGCCTCGCATTCAAGGTCTCCCGAGCCAACATGATTTTTGACAGTACTGTAGTGTGAAGGCTTGCATTGAGCTCCGATGACAAGCCCAGAATGTTTTCGAGGGATGTAGTGATAAGTGCACCCACAGGAGGTCGAAGCCAGGAATCTTTGAGAAGGGGTATCTCCTGGCTGAGGGATATCTTTTGAATTGTACTCATTGGGGGGGTCGTAATTCTCCAGGTGGTTGATAGCCCACCGCAGTAATGACCGCATCATGAGAAAACGGGCAGACTGTAGTAGAGCTATGAGTTGAGGAAGTGATGGAGAAAAGGAACAGGGCTGCCATCTTCTATTGCTGTGCAAGTGAGTGAAGATATTGAGGGAGAAAATAGGTTGGTACGCACGCATGCTCCAGCCAGGCCAAGACCATCTCGAACTCCATAGCTGATAAGTTGGCAAGGTAAATGGGTTGGCCATCGTCATAAGTGCCTCCCCCAGTGACCATGCTGGTGATGAGCTCGGAATGATTCTTCAACACAGACAAAGGAAATTTGAACAGTGTTGTACCTGCCTAGTTTGCATTAATGTGGAAGAAAATAGAAGAAAATCAAAACAAAGCTTACACAAAAGCTGGGGTATGAGGGGCCACAAAGAGGGTCATAATATTTTGGATGTCAGACCCAGTCAGAGGCTATAGGACCTGGAGAATGAACGGAGCCAAGTGCTGAATATATAGTGCAATGCATTTAAATACGTCAAACCGGACCGAGAGTGGACCTGGGAGATCCGCTGCAAATATTGCTGATTGTCATTCCAATATACCCTTCTCTTCAGTTCAATGCTGCCAGACTATCTACCTCGACTTCCAACTCCTCTGACCACCACCAGTACCACTTCCTGGCCTGCAAATATCATCCATGCCCACCAGATTGTATCCGATATCTATTCTCATGCACTTCAGGCCTTGCACACAGATGCTGAGAAATCTCGCCTTCAGTTCACACTGTAGGGCATTGGTCAATGATGCATTTCCTCTTATTCTGGCCTTTGAGCTTGGAGATGAAGAATACCCTGTATTGAAAGAGTGGGTTTACAAAGTAGCTGAGATATTGATGGAGCTTTTACAACAAACACAAGAAGCCGAAGGACATCCATCGACGGGGTAAGTGTGATGTTACAGACTCAAGATATGTTTCTTATATACAGTTTTAGGGAATCAAATGTCCGGTTCATGAAGCCTGTTAATATCCAGCGAACAGGGAAGAGAGGTCGACCGCGGAAAGTACCTGATGAAAACCTACTAGAGGAAGCTTTTGCACCTAACCGAAATATAACCATTAGCCAACTTGCGAGCACTATTGGCATACATCGGAATACTCTATCCAAATATTTACAGGAATATGGGATTAGTCCCCGAGCCTACAGCAGTATATCTGATGCTGATCTCGACAGACTGATTAAAGAGTACCGCCGGCATAATCCACAATCAGGGGTCCGCTACCTAAGGGGCCGACTCAGGAAGAAGCATGGGCTTCGGCTTCAGAAGCGCAGAATCAAGGAATCAATTGACCGAGTTGATCCCCTTGGAAATATACTTCGGAATTATACTATGATTCCCCGCCGCGTATATCATGTCTCTCGTCCAAATGCACTCTGGCATCTGGATGGGCATCACAAGCTTATTAGATGGGGTTTTGTAATACATGGAATCATAGATGGCTACTCCCAAATGGTATGTCTATGCATTACTTACTGCCCTATTGAATTGTACTCATCAAGTGTTTCAAAATAGGTAGTAGGGCTACAAGCAAGCAACAACAGTTCTTGAGCTTTTCCTTACTGCAATAGAAAAATATGGTCTTCCATCACGTCTACGTGGTGATCGAGGTGGGGAAAATACAAAGGTTTCCATTTATATGATTATCGCTCGCGGCCTCCATCGTACAAACTTCATGTGGGGGACGTATGTGCCTATCTTCATATTTTCCTGTGTAATCTATACTGAGTAATTTGTTACCTTTGCTTAGATCTACGCGTAATAACCGCATTGAGTGATTATGGGTTGAAGTTGGGGCACAATTTGCATAGCAATGGAGGGCTTTTTTTCAGCGACTAGAACAGCTACATGGGCTTGATCATGGGGATCCTGCTCATCTATGGTTGCTGCATTATCTCTTCTTAGATGAGATTAATGAAGACTGTAATACATTCTGTGAAGATTGGAACTCACATCCAGTCTCTGGAGAGGGTCATGATCAAACACCTGAGGTAGGCACTTTTTATTATTATTTTAACTTGTTGGTCATATAACTTGCAATATTGTAGGACATGCACCTCATTGGTCGCCTTGAGCATGGTGAGTATGAAGATGATTGCAATGGTCTTGACCCCACAATCATTGGACGATACTATGGGGTGGAAGATGAGGAGGATAATATTGAGCATAACTCATCAGACAGTGACAGTGGCTCAGATATAGATAACACAGATGGTGTTGAGGCTGAAGATATATCTACACATACCAGCTCAAGCTCTGATGAAACACAGAATTTGCCAGGTATATAAATTATATGATTTGCCTATATTTTTTTCTTCATAACTCCCTTTCTAGATCGTATTCTAAAAGATGTTCAATCTCAATTTCATCATGCACCAGTATGGGTACCAAAGCATAAAAACCCGTTTTCCACCAAGTTGCAACGAAAAGTCTTCAATGACTGTTTAGTGGAAGTCTTGGAGAGTGATGCAGGGCTGCCTTCAGGGCTTGGCATAAGGCAGGATGAATGGGAAGAGGAAGGTTATCCCATATTTGAGACCCTTAAGTCAGGTAGGCGGGGCACAAAGGAACTGCAAATTCCCTTACCTCTGGAAGATTGGCTACCTAGGGCAGAGGTCTGGGTAAAAGCACTAACTCTTATGAATAACATTATGGCAGTAGATAACGCCTCTGAATAAAACTTGTAGGAGCAACCTTTAATATTATTGGATCTTAATTTGAAACTTAGTGTAACCGCATTTTCAGGCTCTATTATATATATATGAATGTCGAAGTTCCCCGCTGGTTCAAGATTCAACTTATAATATTCAGAGATCGCCGTAAACATTCTCTTTTTCTACCACCATATACCTTTTCTCTCTCTTAATTATGCCAAAGCGAAAGGAAGCTCCAAGCTCCGAATCATCTGGACAAGAGGAGGAGAGCAACAGCTCAAACTCTGATTCTGATATTCCCTCAGCTCGGAAACCATCTGCCTACAGCTCGTTGAAAGCATTGGCCTTGAGGAATCTTGCTTTAGGATCTGGAAAAGGCCAATCATCACTCCGTTCAGCAGCAGAGGCGGAATCAAATTTGGGCTACAAAAACCAAAAGAATCAGTCATCAAGTTCAGGCTCATCTTCCACTTCACATGTACCCACCAAGAAACGGAAACCCAGTTCCTCAAAAAGAGTTGTACTGGGTGGGGCCAGGTAATGAGACGCACAAGCGTATTTTGGTTATCATACATGATTACTTCATACATACAAGCTATGGGGACGTGATATGATGCCCACCTATCCAACGAACACGGTGATAGCGATTTGGTGATTTTAGGGTAGGTTATGACTGAGGAATGAATATTTTTCGGAAGAGGGGCATCAGGGAAACTGTCCCCTTGAAATATGAGACAATATCAAGAAAGTTTTGAAATATTTTGTAAACTAGTACTACATTTTCAAAATTCCGATATTTTCAAAATATAATGCAATTTGATTTATTTAGAATTTGTTTGATGAATCTCCAAACTATGTAGGAATAATATTTATAATTGGTACTAAAATTCACATAGTTAACTATAGAGGATGAATTAGTGGACAACTTCTTGAATTGTGGCTTCGACTTGGCTAGTACTGGCCATAAATGGTTGAACAATTCCTCTGCAATCATGTAATCAGTACTAATGTAGGTTGCCCGGAATCATATTTCTGGCCTCTTAAACAATATACTATGGTGACTACCGATTTAAATATGAAGTGACAGGGCTAGCCAAGCCTTTTAGAATTACAACTTTTGTAGAAGTACAAGTGTCAGCGACTGGTTCTAGTAACAGATGTCACCAGGCGTCACACTCAAGAAAACCTTAGAGGGCGGGGCGATAAAAGAAGCAAGCAGAGTTCTGGGCTAAACCAGGTAGAATAGACGAGATCAAAGCTAAGGAAATACAGCAAGTAGCTACAGCCTATATACTAGTGAACAACCCTCTGCCCTAGTAATGCCCAACACCCTGGGTTAGTGGTAAACATGAGTAGAACATAAGTAAAGTAGTGCGTAAGTAATGAAAGCTCGATCGCCATGCTGTATACGTGTTGTGAGACTGCTGTGTTTAATATAAGTAAATGAAAAGCGCATGTTGTATCAGTAAGCATAAATAATAGGTCAGGTGACAAGATAAGATAAGATATAGGATAAGGGAGATAGAAGATAAGACAAAAGATAAAAGATAAGACAAGGGATAAGGAGAAAGATAAGATGAAAAAGAAGTGATCGTAACATTACCCCCCCTTTAAGGCGCGAATTCCATGACGCGCAAGTCGGTTGACAAGTGCTTCAGATGGCATGGTACTTGGGACTGGTTCTATGTCTGGTGTAGGTATTTGTCGGAACAATTCAGTGGGAAATTGAGCAATCGGAATCTCGATCCGTTTAAGGGTTCGAGGCCTGGGCTTGTTAGGATACTTCTTGTGGAAGTCCTGAACAGCTTCTTTGGCATTCGTCATATTAGCTGCAGGTTCCCACGTCATTTCATGTGGTCCGTAACCTCTCCATTTTACCTTGTACTGGATGCTATTCCAATACTTGCGTGCATCCACAACCTCTTCTACTTCGTACTCTTCTTCTTCTCCAACTACTTCTGGAGGTGGCTCGGTATTTCGGGGTTGTGTCGGGAATTGGGGTTCATGGTACGGGGATAGGTGTGTTTCGTTGAAGACATTATGGACTCTTTTCCACGTGTGAGGGATGTCAAGTTTGTATGAGCTGGATCCGATCTTTTCAAGAACTTTAAACGGTCCAAATCGTTTATCCCCAAGTTTCTTCATTGGGCGATCTGTCGTTATGTTGGTTCCTTCAAGCCAGACTTTATCACCAGCCTTATACTCTATCGCTTCATTCCGGTGTTTGTCATATTGGCGCTTCATGTCCTCAGCGGCTTTTTTCAGCGCCGATCCTACTTCTTCCCTGATCCGTTTCATACTATCGGCAAACTCCTGTGCTGTTGGGTTTTGTGACGTCATCTTCGGTGTGGTATATTTGTATGGGTGTCTGCCATTGTCTGCGTAGAAGGGCGAAACCTTCGTAGCTGAGTGTACTCGATCGTTATATGCAAACTCCATCATTGGAAGCCATTCGTGCCAATCACTCTGATGATGATTCACAAAAAGACGGATGTAATGTTCAATTTCTTGATTTATCCGTTCCGTCTGGCCATTAGTCTGAGGATGGTATGCAGTTGTATAGTTGCTTTCGAT